ATCATGAATAACTTTGTGACTATGTAATTCATGGTGATGTCATTTAAAAAATATTGGGAAGGAAGCACATGTATTATATAGGTAGGAAAATATAGGTAGGAAAAATATAGGTATGTGTATTATGTGTATATTATTTTGGTATAGTGTTAATTATATAGGTAGGAAAATCACACAAATGAAGGCATGAAACTGGGAATACTTGCTGATGCATTTGGAAACATTTCATCGTTTTGGTTTACTCCATCAGTTTCCCATGTATGTGGAAATAGATCTGAGAGGGAGAATGGTAATTTAATTGAATTAGCAGTAAGTAAAAAATACATTAATAATGTTTTCTTTTCTTCCTTTTCTCCTATTATTTGATTATTTTCCTGCCTTAATTATTTGTAGAGACCAAAACAAAGTTCATATGTCTCAAAGTTAACTCTTCATCTCCTTTCCTTAAACAAATAAACAAAAACTTTCCAAAATTTTCCCTCTCCACTTCCAGTCATGTTTGTGTCATCCTTCAACCCTAATTTGACTTGTGTCAGCAAAGTAAATTCCAGCTCCATTTACTCTCTCATCTCCTCCTCCCTTTAACACCACTCCAGCTCGGAGTATACTGCTTTGAGAAGAGAACAGCAGCAAACTTACCATTTGGCCGTGGCTCCATCTTCTGGGAAAGAAGCATAGGGGAAAGTAATGATTGTCAGTAGAGAGATATGATGATGTAGATGCAATAGAGGAAACAACCCAACAAGGAAAGTTTATTTATTTATTTATTTGTTTATTGCTTTTTTGGGTCGCACCCAGTGATGCACAAGTTTACTCCTGGCTCTGCACTCAGAAATTACTCCTGCAGTGCTCGGAGGACAATATGGGATGGTGGGAATTGAGCCCAGGTCAGCCGCATGCAAGGCAAATGCCCTATCCTCTGTACTGTCACTCCAGACCCAGGGTTAAATTTTTATAAAGGTGTTTTTAAATTGTGGATCTGCTCATTTCAAGGTAGGATATGTATTTCTTCAATAGTAGTGTAGTAAGAGGTTGGACAGAAAGCTCCAAAAGGTGGAGTATATATAGAAATCTCAGAATGCACTAGGCCCTCCCATATCCATTCCTGCCATAACATGGCACATGAACATGCCTCAGTGTGGCTGGACCTGGAAGCACCTCATCATTGAGCCAAACGCCTAACCGTGAGACCTGGCATTGAGGGTCATGTATCACTGGGGGTGGCCCCTGCACTCCCAGATATCTCTGTGGAATGCCTTTCCACCCCTCAAATAAAGTCATTTAAAATAATTAATTTTTATATCAGTAAGTGTTCGTAGATCAGGGATTCTTAAACTTTTTCTTCATACAACCACTTTTTTACCAGAGAAGTGCAACATGTTGCTTAGTACAGTAGCCACATTGCCTATTGTAAAAAAAGGTAAAGGTAAAGGCCCTCCCGTTGATCGTCGATTTGCTCGAGCGGGCCCAGTAACGTCTCCATTGGAGACTTTGTTGTTACTGTGTCTGGCATATCGAATACTCTCGGTAGCTTGCCGGGCTCTCCGAGAGGGGCGGAGGAATCGAACTCGGGTCGGCCATGTTGGCCGCTTGTAAGGCGAACGCCCTACCCGCTGTGCTATCGCTCCAGCCCTAGCTGGAGCAATAGCCTATTGTAAAATATTGTGTAATATTGACGTACTTAGAAACAACCCAAATGCCTGACCACAAATAAATGGATTGAAAATTTGGGGTTTACATGCACAATGGAATACTATGCAGCTCTAAGAAAAAAACAAAATCATGCAGCTTGCTGAAACTTGGATGCAAGTAGAAGATACACTGAATGATGTCAGTCAGAAGGATAGGGACAGGTATAGAACGATCTATCTCATATATGCTACTTAAAGATACACGGAAAGGTAGCAATGAAGGCCAATGGCAACATAATGGGAGAACTGAGCCACACAATTGACTTGGGAGAGAAGAGGAAGAGAGTGGTATCTTTCCCTTGGAAGAGGGAGGGAGTACACTGGTGATCGGTGTAATATTGGAATTATGTGCATGACAAACCATTATTTATAGCATTGTAAACTACAGAGTATCAATTAAAAAAATTTCAAAGGAGAAAGAAAGAGAAGGGGGAGGAAGGGAAGGAGGGAAAGAGGGTAGAAGGAAGAGTGAAGGAAGGAAAAGGAAAGATTGACCCTTTACATTCCTTATGTACGTGGTTGATTTTTAATTAAGTTTTGGTATGTGTATTCAGAGATCTCCTACTATTGCCAAGTTCCTTGTGACAATGTCCCGCCTCCATTCATTTACCCCCATATGGCATCATGATCCACAGCTTAAGAAGTTAGGCCTTGGCGCTGGAGCAGTAGCACAGCAGGTAGGGTGTTTGCTTTGTACGTGGCTCACCCGGGTTCAATTCCCAGCATCCCATATGGTCCCCCAAGCACCACCAGAAGTAATTCCTGAGTGCAGAGCCAGGAGTAACCCCTGTGCATCACAGGATGTGACCCAAAAACAAAAAAAGAAAAAAAAAGAAGCTAGGCCCAGGGCCAGAGATATAGTACAACTTGCATGCGGCCAGCCTGGGTTCAATCACCAGCACTCCAAATAGTCCACCAAGCTCCACCAATGGTGATCCCTGAGTGTAGAGCTAGGGGTCAATACTGCCCCCTCAAAACAAAATTAGAAAAAGCTGTCACTGTCACCGTCCTCCCGTTGTTCATTGATTTGCTCGAGCGGGCCCAGTAACCTCTCCATTATGACAATTGTTACTGTGTTTGGCATATCAAGTACGTCACGGGTAGCTTGCCAGGCTTTGCCTTGCAGGCAAGATACTCTCGTTAGCTTGCTAGGCTCTCCGAGACAGGCGGAGGAATAGAACTCAGGTCAGCTATGTTGGCCGCTTGCAAGGCAAATGCTCTACCCACTGTACTATCGCTCCAGCCCTAGGAAAAGCTAAATCCAAAATAATATTGGAATAAGTTTTCAGAAAAGCTGATCACAGTAGCCAAAATAAATTATTAAAAAACTTTAGAAAGTAACCATATCTATTGAGGCCCTGAGTATAGGTACCCCTGTTCTGTGATCTGTTTCCTGATCCCAGGCAGGAATACCTCTAGACACTTTTGAAGATGTAACTGGTAGCACAACAGGTAGGATGCTTTCCTTGCGTGCAGCCAACCCAGATTCAATATCCAGCATCCCATATGGTTCCCCTTAGGCTCCAGGAGTAACCCTTGAGCACACTGGGTATGGACCAAAGAAATAAAATCAAACAGAAGAAGAATGTAACAGATTCTGAATTTGGCTCAGAAGATAATGGCATTCCCTACATCATGCTTTCATCTTCCACACAATCTTAAAGTGTCCCAGAGTCATTTAGGACATTGGCAGTCTAGCTGGCAATATGGCAGATGCCGTGTCAGATACCTGTCTTTAGGTGACACTGAGTAGCCTCCTTTTCAGTGCTGACCTGTTGGTTGCTTTGCCGTATGCATTCTCTATTTTTTTTTTTTTTTGGAACCTGGTGGAATGATTCCTTGATGGTGAAAATGTCAGTGTGCTATTACATTCTCTTAGACATGGACCTGTCAGTAACTTCTAACAGTGGTCAGCAGGAAAAAATAAAAGTGTTTTTGAATCAACACTTCACTTTAGTGAAATGAAGTTTGCTTTTCCCAGTGCTTTTTCTCCCACTGGCACAAGCATTTTGAAACCCTAGGGAAATGCCTTCTCCTAAATTAACTTCTATTTGTAATGATAAACTATGGATAAGTAGTATCCATATCACTAAATCAGGACTAGTTTGGTTATATGTGTGTATAGTAAATTCATTCTTAAATCACATATAAAATCATTCACATGTATTAATGCAATATTAGTAGGATGAACAGGTGACTAAGAAGCATGAAGAGAAACGCAATTTTCTGTAGCCTTAGCATTGTTCTCATTTTAGAACATGTGAGGAGGGATTTCCCATTCTGTTGTTCCAAACAGTTTGTATCTGTAATTTGTAACCTGGAAATTCCTGTAAAATTCTATCTCCTGTTGGAGTAGGAATCTGAAGTTTGGGATTCTTAATTTCCTGGACAGGTCCTTAAGTAGTTTTTCCTTCTATGCTTTTTATTTTTTAATTTTTTTAGAGTTTTAAGCTTTTAATTAAAAGCTTAATTTTTGTTTTTGAGAGAAAATTCATATAAACAAAGCTCATCATTTTAAAACTTGCAATTTAGTGATTTCTTAGTATTTTCATTGTGAGTTGCAACTTTAACCACTAACTTGACCTTTGCCTCACTCCAGAAGGTAGCCCTGTGTCTCTACACACCAGTCTCTCCTCCCATTCCTTAGAAGCCTCTAAATCAGTTTCTGTCTTTATCATTTACCTTCCTGGATATTTCATGTAAATGAAATAGCATGTGTCTTTTGGGATTGGCTTTAAATTTACTTAGCATATTTCTTTTTTTAAAAATTTTATTTTATTGAATCACCGTGAGATACTGTTGCAAGCTTTCATGTTTGAGTTACAATCATACAATGTTCAAACTCCCATCCCTCCACCAGTACACATTCCTCACCACCAGTCTCCCCAGTATGCCCCCCTTTCCCATCCTCCCCCTGCCTCCCTGGCAATTTCCCCCATACTCTCTCTCTCCTTTTGTGCATTATGCGTTGCAACTCAGATACCAAGAGGCCATCACTTTTGTTCCTTTATCTACTTCTATGCTTTTTAGAAACTAGAGGCAGGGTATTCTTCCTGCTTCAAGTCAGTGTCTTAGGTGTGTCTCTATAAAAGGGAAGCCTGTGATGATGCATTTTCCTGTTCCTGACGTAATGTAGGGGGGAGCTCATCATTTTTCTCTATGCATATTTGTGTTGTTTCTGTTTTCCCTTTTCCCCAAAACTTAGAAGTAATGATTGATTCCACATGTATGACACTCAGGTACACAACATAGAGCTTAAGCTCTGCAAATAGTTGTTCTTGAAGAAATCTAATCCCGTGCTTCTCTTCACAGCAAGTGAGAAACAGATGACAGTGGTGTGCAAGGGGTCACCAAAGGAGTACCTCCAGCCTTTCAAGGACAAGCTGGAGGAGTTCTTTCAGAAAGGTAAGAGATGGATTCAGTTACACATACATTGTACCCTGAACAATTCTGTGGCTCATTCTCTGATACCTGCTGAGCCCTAGTAGTTCCCGTTTCCTTTTTGCTCACTTGAGTTGCATGTTCAATGTAGATGTGGCAACCTATGTATCACCTTTCAGATTTATTCTAGTCATTTTATCCTTTAACATTACCCCTGTTGGGACTAGAGCAATAGTGGGTAGGGCATTTGCCTTGGACCCAAGTTTGATTCCCAACATCCCATATGGTCCCCCGAGCACCACCAGGAGTAATTCCTGATTGCATGAGCCAGGAGTAACCCTGTGCATCACCAGTTGTGCCCCCCCGCCCCGCAAAACAAACAGACAAAAAAAATACCTCTGTTTTTATAAACTTTTTTAAGGGAAGATGTTTTTCTTTGTTTCTGGGTGGAGCCTCAGGGGATTCTCATAAACACTGACAGGCAGACTGGTCAGTACATTGAGGATTTCTGGTCATCCTGGACAATTATCTCCCTGGCTTTGTGAGTGTAGCTGTAGGATGCTTGTGTTGTACTTTTTATTCTTTTCCAAGAAGGAAAATTGAACCCATATCTAATCACTTGATAACCATCAGCTCTTCAGGCAGATGGAAGTTTTGCCACGCCCAAGACTGGGGACTTATTTAGATATCTTAGCAAATTATGTTTTGTCTTTCATGATTTTGACAGGAGTAGCAGACTTCTGTTGTTCTCTTTCAGTGAACTTGGAAGCTTATTGCATTTTGAGTATGTTCCAACTTAACTTTTCAAATTCATCATAGGATGTGAAGTCAAACTAAATGTGAAATATAGACTTTGATTTGTAAGTTAGCAGAGTCTTAAATGCAGCATACAGCATACTGACTATAATTAAATAATATTGCTGTTTTATATTTAATATTGCTAAAAGAAAAATCTTACAGTGATAGATGTTACCTAGACTTACTGTAGTAATCATTTCACTGTGTAAAAGTGTATAATATATATGCATATGTGTGTATATACAAGTATATATATACTTGTTGTTTTATGTTTAATATTGCTAAAAGAAAAATCTTACAGTGATAGATGTTACCTAGACTTACTGTAGTAATCATTTCACTGTGTAAACGTGTATAATATATATACATATGTGTGTATATACAAGTATATATGTGTATATATATACACTTGTTGTTTTATACACCTGAATCTAATTTGCATCATAACACATCTCAAAGAAAAGAAATAGTGTGAGGTATTAGAAAAAGCTTTTGTCTTTGCTAGAAAATCAAGGAAATGCATGTAGGAGCCTTTGGGAATATAACAGCATACTATTTCTATTAATTAGCGATACCACATGGTATCACACTATCATTAAAAACAAAAAACCTCTAGGCAAGATGAATCCATAAAAGTTTGACCAAACCACCTTGGGAATTGGCAAGAAAATTCTCAGTCCCTGAGTCAGAATAACTTCATTCCAGCTGCTCCCTAGGAAGAGAGATTATTATTTCTTTCTCCTCACTGACAGATTGGTATTAAAGTAGAATATGGAATTTTTTTTCTTGGCCATTGCTGAACCTCATATATGATAGAAATAATACTGTCAGGAAAAAAAAGAAAGAATTCTGTCAGGCAAAGTGCCATTTTGAATGTGAAGAGTAGTACCAAACTTCTGACTAAATTTAGGTAGCTTTCATATGTGACTTACCAAGTGGATTCATTGTATACTCTTGATATATGAAATGCTTTTCCAAACCCCAGTGAATAATATAAGTAGATATGTAAATTTTAAATAAACATATTGAGATCTTTTTTTTTCTTAATTGCTATTAAGTTGTGTCTAGAAAAATTTTGCTCTGTGTGTGTATGGGTATTATCTGTCTGTATATACAAATAGCTTTCTAATTCTTATTTCTTGAATCCAGCTATTAAGACACTTATATTGTAAATTTTAATTTTTGTTGTCATTGAGAAAAGATAAATATGAATAGACCCATGGGGCTGGAGTGATAATACAGTGGGTAGGGCATTTGCCTTGCACATGGCCGACCCAGGTTCTATTCCCAGTATCCCATATGGTCCCCTGAGCACTGCCAGGAGTAATTTCTGTGTGTAAAGCCAGGAGTAGCCCCTTTGCATCACCAGTGTGACCCAAAAAGACTATATATATATATATATATATATATATATATATATATATATATGTGTGTGTGTGTGTGTGTGTGTATTCCAATGGTCTTTGATATTTGGAAAAGATATTTGTAAATCACCATTTAAGGTTAACTGTTAGTCCCTTCTATTTATGCTTTCTCAGAAAACTTTCATTCTGCTCTGTCAAAGAAAAATGAGGTGAGTCAAACTGGACTTTCTCTCAAGGAGATACATTTTGGCCACAATAAGCTAATCTCAGGAAGTCCTAGAGCAGTGGTTTTCAACCATGCCTCCCTAGCTATGTACTAGATTCATCTAGGGAAGAATAAAAATTGTTGACATGCAGACTGAACTTCAGAATTAACAACCACAACCCTGAGGGTGGTCCCAGGACTGAGCACTTTTATTTCACTCCCCAATGAGTCCAATAGATAGGAAGGTGGGGATTCACTATTGTCAAACTCAGTTCACTCTTTAATATGTATTCACAGATACATGTCCTTTTTCCACAGGGAGATATTGTGAGAGATTCTAGGAATACCAGAACCAGGATTGTCCTGCTGGGGGGTAGATCTGTAATTGAATAAGGGACTCTGCTCTTTTAATCCATAGAGTGAAGGGAAGATGAGAGGACATTAAAAATAACCACGAATCATAGTTTAAACAAAATCAGCCAAAACTAGGCACAAAATCTGACAGGAAAGTGTCATTCTATGAAGAATTTTTAAATATACAAATAAATATTAAACATTCCCTATATTATGTCATGAGAAGAATCAAGGCTGACATAGTGTGTGACCGTTTCCTCATTCCCTAGCTGGAATGGTTTTTCAAAAATATGGAGAATTGTGCTGTCCAATATGACACTAGCCGCAGGCAGCCATTGAGCAACTGAAATGTGTCTCATCCCAATTGAGGTAGGCTATAAAGGGGGAAATACAAACCAGATTTTGAAAACTTGATGCCAAATACTTTGCTCCTGATGTTTTCGCATCGATGACATAGTAAAATCACATTTCTGACATATTGAATTAACTAAATCAAATATTAGTTATCTTACCCTTTCTTTTCACTTTGAAGCATGGCTGTTAGAAAATCTTAGCTCTGGCTCTCACTGCATTTCTCTTGTACAGTGCTAGTCTAGAGACATGGTCTCTCAGTCTTTGTCCCCTCAGTTCTTCCTTTTCTTCTTCACATTATCATTCTGCCTTTTTAGTATAAATCCTGTTTTACTGGAATGCAGCTTCACAAGCCAAATCCTCTCCTTTTTTTGCCCAGGGTATAGTTATTGTTTGGCTCTCAAGTTGGAGTGCTTAGATGAAAAAGATGGCAGCATACTGTTCCATCAAGTGGCTACTCAGGGCAGCTATTTGCTTATTAAAATAGAGACAAATGCACTTTTTTTTTAATTGAATCACTGTGAGAACAGTTACAAAGCTTTCAGGTTTAAGTCTAGGTTATACAATGATCAAATACCCATCCCTTCACCAGTGCATATTTTCCACAACCAAGAACCCCAGTATACCCCCATACCAACCCTCCCCTGCCAGTGTGGCAGATGATTTCCACTTTACTCTCTCTCTACTTTGATTACATTCAATTTTTCGACAGAAGACCTACCATTATTATTGGAATTTTCCCCCAACATTCAGACCTGTGGAGAAGGTATCATTAGATAATTTGTTTTCCATTGCTGATAATGAAGAGAATATGATGATTTTTGGATTTCTGATATTTTAGTAATTAAGTCCAGAGGGATTTCTGCCAGAAGCCGCTGGGTTCCAGGATCTGTTTGTGTGCCTCTGGGCACACTTTGATGACCATTCAGGAGCTGGAGGAGCCATTTGTGGGCGGTAACTTGGTGTCTCATCACGGTGGGGAGACAAATGCAGTATCTTTTGACTACCAAGAAGCTCCAAATAATAGTCCCTCATTTTTCACTTGGCCACTCCTGGAGGTGATTGGTGGACTCTGCATGTACTACAACACTTACATCACAGCACCAACTTCAGTAATCTATTTTTAAAGTAATTGTTTCACTGATTCACCAAAAAAGAAAAGTGAATTTTCTACCAACCATAAATATGTATTATATACCTTGTATAATTAAAAATTGGGGTGAGGGGAAGTTATAGGTTGTGCTCAGGGCTTATTTCTAGCTCTGTGCTCAGGGATTATTCCTGGCAAGGCTCAGGGGACCATATGTGGTTTCTGGTTTTGAACTCTCGTCAACTACATGTAAGACAAGTGCCTGACTTGCTCAAGTATCTCTTTAGCATGAAACTAAACATTTTAAAGTAATTTTCATACAGTTTAATATAGCATCTAATATGCCATTGAATATATTTAACACTTAAGTTCAACCATGAATATATCTTGTCATCAGAGACGTTAAACTATGAACATTCTGTCTTTGACATTGATGTAATCTGGTACTCTGATTAGATCATTTGAACACAAAATGAGAGATGCTTTTATTTCCAAGAAAGACTTTTGGCTAAGGGTAGCTTTTGGCTTGGGTTTTTATTTCAGGAGTGATAATGAAAATAATAATTGATACTGTTTCTGTTTGCCTGACACTCTAAGGCATAGGTCATTTTTCTCTTTTATTCTATATGAAAATCCTATAAAAATTAGTATTACTTTCACTTTCTTGTAAAAATGAGGCATTGGAGGATTAGAAATTCTCAATATAAAATTTAGAAAGGCATCCTGGCAGCTGAAAACATGCACTGCAATCTCAGAATGGAATACATGGTGTGCTGAGGGCATGGTTAGATCACAGAGCATAGGAGAACCCAAAACCTAAAATAAGAGAAGGGTCATGGTCACAGAAGAGATTGATAAAGAA